TACTACTACTACTACTACTACTACTACTACTACTACTACTACTACGACTACTACTACTACTACCTACTACTACTACTACTACTACTACTACTACTACTACTACTACTACTACTACTACTACTACTACTACTACTACTACTACTACTACTACTACTACTACTACTACTACTACTAACTACTACTACTACTACTACTACTACTACTACTACTACTACTACTACTACTACTACTACTACTACTACTACTACTACTACTACTACTACTACTACTACTACTACTACTACTACTACTACTACTACTACTACTACTATTACTACTACTCCCACTACTACTACTGCTACTACTACTACTACTACTACTACTACTACTACTACTACTACTACTACGAATAATAATAATAATAATAATAATAATAATAAATATGTATTCTTTTTCTTCTGCTACCACCGTCCCGATGCGTCCCGAAACATGTAACTCGGCATATCCACTTACGCAGTACAGCGCATCGTGACCTCATACGGACCTCCACCGATGGCGCCAATGCCACCGTCTGCATGCGTCCGGGAACATATGATTTGGCAAATTCACCCACGGAGTACAACGCATCGTGCTTGGCATCGTTCGGACGTGTGCACGCTTCCTTCGGCGAAGATCATCGAGGAGCACCTTTGATCATTTTGCGAAACAACCAGGAGTGGACGTCCGAACCACGGCCAGCGTGGCCCTTTAGGGAGCTCCATCGAAGGCCCCAATGCCACCGTCCCCACGCGTCCCGAAACATCCACTTTGGCATTCACACCCACCGAGTACAACGCTTCGTGGCCCCATACTCCACCGAAGGCCCCAGTGCCACCGTCCGCATGCGTCCCGAAGCATCCACTTTGGCAGTTTCACCCACCCAGTATACCGCTTCGTGGCCCCATAGGGAGCTCCACCGAAGGCTCCAGGTCTACAGCCCGCGTGCGTGCCCCCACCAAGCACATCGCTTCGTGGCCTCATAGGGAGCTCCACCGACGGCCCCAGTGTTACTGCCCGCATGCGTCCTACCCGGTGCAACGCTTCGTGGCCCCATGGGGAGTTCCACCGACGGCCCCAGTGTTACCGCCCGCATGCGCCCCCCACCACCCAGTACAGCGCTTCGTGGCCCCGTAGGGGGCTTCACCGAAGTCCCTGGTGCTACCGCCCGCATGCTTCCCCCCCACCCATTACAGCGTGTCGTGGCGCTGTAGAGAACTCCACCGACGGCCCCAGTGCTACCGCCCGCATGCGTTCCCTCCCACCCAGTGCAACGCTTCGTGGCCCACTAGGGAGCTTCACCGAAGCAGATATTCACAATTGCTGTACCATAATAACATACGGTTGGGTCCTTGGCACGGATAATCTACTGATATAAAAAATGGCGCACTGCGGGCGGTAGCACGGGGGCCGTCGGCGGAGGTCCCTATGAGGCAACGAAGCGTTGTACTGGGTGGGGGTGGCGCATGCGGGCGGTAGCACTGGGTCCTTCGGTGGAGTTCCCTATGGGGCCACGAAGCGTTTTAGTGTGTGAAAGGGGGGGCGCGTGCGGGCAGTAGCGTTGGGACCGTCGGTGGAGCTCGCCACGAAACGTTGCACTGGGCGTTGGGGACGCATGCGGGCGGTCCCATTGGCGGCTGTCGGTGGAGCTCCCTGCGGGGCCACGAGACGTAGTACTGGGTGGGTGAAAATGCCAAGTTGGGTGTGTGAGACGCACGCGGGCGGTCCCACGGGGGGCTTCGGTGGAGCTGCCTATGGGACCACGAAACGGTGTACTGGGTGGGTGAAAATGTCAAATTGGATGTGTGGGACGCACGCAAACGGTCCCACTGGGGGCTTCGGCGGAGCTCCCTATGGGGCCACGAAGCGTTGTTTTGCGTGACCTGCCAAAGTGCATGTGTGTGGGACGCATGCGGGCGGTCCCGATCGGGGGTTCGGTGGAGTTCCCCATGAGGCCACGAAGCGCTGCACTGGGTGCGTGAAAATGCAAAATTGGACGTTTTGGGACGCATGCAGACAGTGGCATTGGGACCTTCGGTGGAGCTCCCTGCGGGGCAACGAAGTGGAGTACTGGGTGGGTGAAAATGCCACATTGGGTGTTTCGGGACGCATGCGGACAGTGGCATTGGGGCATTCGGTGGATTCCCTATGGGGCCACGAAGCACTGTAATGTGTGGGCGGGAATGCCAAGCTGGGTGTGTGGGACGCATGCGGAAAGTGGCACTGGGGCCTTCGGTGGAGCTCCCTATGGGGGCCATGATGCGCTGTACTGGGTGGGTGAAAATGCCAAATTTGGTGTTCTGGGACGCCTGCGGACGGTCCCACTGGGAATTTAGGTGGAGCTCCCTATGGGGCCACGAAGCGCTGTTGGGTGGCCGAAAAATGCCACATTCCCGGACGCATGCGGACGGTGGCTCTGGGGCCTTCGGTGGAGCTCCGTCGGGGGCACTGATGCGTTGTACTGGGTGGGTGAAAATGCCACATTGGGTGTTTCGGGACGCCTGCGGACAGTGGCATTGGGGCATTAGGTGGATTCCCTATGGGGCCACGAAGCACTGTAATGTGTGGGCGGGAATGCCAAACTGGGTGTGTGGGACGCATGCGGAAAGTGGCACTGGGGCCTTCGGTGGAGCTCCCTATGGGGGCCATGATGCGCTGTACTGGGTGGGTGAAAATGCCAAATTTGGTGTTCTGGGACGCCTGCGGACGGTCCCACTGGGAATTTAGGTGGAGCTCCCTATGGGGCCACGAAGCGCTGTTGGGTGGCCGAAAAATGCCACATTCCCGGACGCATGCGGACGGTGGCTCTGGGGCCTTCGGTGGAGCTCCGTCGGGGGCACTGATGCGTTGTACTGGGTGGGTGAAAATGCCAAATTGGGTGTTTCGGGACGCCTGCGGACGGTCCCACTTGGGGTTTCGGTGGAGCTCCCTATGGGGCCACGAAGCGCTGCACGGGGTGGGTGAAAATACCGCAGTTGGTTTTCAGGACGCATGCGGGCGGTGGCACTGGGGCCTTCGGTGGACCTCCCGATGGGGCACGAAGCGCTGTACTGGGTGGGTGGAAATGCCAAATCCGGTGTTTCGTGACGCATCCCGACTGTCCCACTGGGGGCTTTGGTGGAGCTCCCTATGGGGCCTCAAAGCGCTGTACTGGGTGTGCGGGACGCATGCGGACAACACCACTGGGACCTTCGGTTGGGAGCTCCTCCACGAAACGCTGTACTGGGCGTGCGGGACGCATGCGGACGGTGACACTGGGACCTTCGGTGGGGCTCCCTATGGGGCCACGACGCGCTGTACTGGGTGGGTGATACACAGGGAGGAAGGGGCGCAGTTCCACGAAACGCTGTACTGGGTGGAGGGAGGAGGGGCAGGAGGAGGAGGAGGAGGAGGAGGAGGAGGAGGAGGAGGAGGAGAAGAACGCGGGGACTGTTATTTCAAAACGAGGACCCAGCACCTCAGGACGGTTGGGAATTATGGAATTATCCTGCGGGCACCGCAATTGTGAATGTCTTCTTCGGTGAAGCTTCTTATGGGGCCACGAAGCGCTGCACTGGGTGGGGGGAAACGCTGTACTGGGTGGGTGGTGCAGAATCGGGCATCTGGGACGCATGCGGACACTCCCACTGGGACGCATGCGCTGGGTGGGGGGGAAACGCCTGCGGGCGGTAGCACTGGGACCGTCGGTGGAGCTCCCTATGGGGCCTTTTTTTTTCCTGGAGGAAACGCCCGGAGCAGCAACGCGGCGCGGGGCAGCGCGCGCCCGCAGACGCTCGGGCGGGGAGGACGCATGCGGGCGTTAGCACCGGGTGGGGCCACGAAGCGCTGTACTGAATGGGGGGACGCATGCGGGCGGTATCACTGGGCGCTTCGGTGAAGCCCCCTACGGGGCCACGAAGCGCTGTACTGGGTGGGGGGACGCATGCGGGCGGTATCTCCATCCCCCTACCCAGAAATCCCCTTGATTCGTCCGCCACTGTGACGCAGGCGCTGACTGTAATGCCAGCGGGTCAACGATTACAGTCAGTAGTCATTCAATGCGCGCAGTGCCATTGCATAGCGGCACTTGTAAGGCAGGGCCCTCGATGTGTGAGATGTAGAGGCGCTCTTAAACGCTTCTAGGGCGCATTCAGGCTTCAACATGCCCTGAGATGGTCCCAGGGGGCGGTGCTCAAGCCGTGCTGGGGTCTCCTATGTTGTCTTTCAGGGCTAGACCAACGAGGCCCACTTCGGCCAACAAGTTGATGTTCCTTCTCGTCCTTTCAATACGAATGCCCAGGAAGCCCACAAAGACCGCCCCATGAGGGGCCCCAGAGGAATCTAGGACGGCCCCGAGAGGTACCGAAAAGCGCGCCACCGTCAGAACGATGCGAGCCTCCCCTCGAAGATGTATCCAATACCCACCAGAATCAGAAGCCCCCAAGAGGCCCCGAAGAGGCTTCAAAGAAGTCCTGAACAGGCATCGAACAGGCCTCCAACGTTTCCCAAGAGTCCACCAGGGCCCCAGGAAGCCCCAATAAGCTCCCAAGGTGCCCCCAAACGGATTTGACCCCGTGTACCAGGGTGCGTTCCGCCCAGCCATGGCGAAGAGGGCGACCAAAGAGGCCACAGGAAGTTCAAGAGCGCAACCCACTCAGAACCTCGACCCTCGAACCCAGAACCTCGATCCTATTCCGCCTGAATTACCGACCCCAGGTGCATGAACTTCTCACCTCGATCCCAAACCAACGATCTAACAACTTCGAACGTGGAACATCGATCCGATTCCGCCCCGATCGCTATTCCCCCTCAATCTTCGATTCAAGAGCGTCGAACCTCGATCCTCACCTCGTCTCGCGCCGCCCCTGACCGCAGGGTCGCCTGGCCACTTTGTTAGTCGCCAGATGCAGCTCCGTGGCCGCGGGGAAAACCTCGGGAGCGGGCGGCCGCGAGGAGGAGGAGGAGGTATTCCCGCAGATCCAGGCGTTGCAGAGGACATCGTGACGGTCGGTTATTCCACGTTTTCAGCCTCCGGAGGCTGGTTCCGGGCAGCGAGACACAAAAAAACGACTCGGGGTGAAGCGATGACCCTTGGGACAGGGTCAAGATGACAGGGGGGCACGTCACGAAACATTCGCTTTCGGATGAGGGTTCTGAGACTCCAAGGGCTTGAAATAATACCTGTAATATTTTGTTTTGCCGTTTTCGCCTTTGGGACAATTTTCCAAACCGCGGGGCGCTGAGAAAACGAATCGGAAAACCTGTCCACTGGATGGCATTGAGATCTCCGGGCCCGCGCAGCGAAAAAATGAAGACATCCGAAGTCTGGGGAGGAGGTGGTAAGTCTTTTTTAAAAAGAAAAGATTATAAAAGAAAAGATGTTCTGATATCTGGGCGTCGCGTCAAAAACAAAACGTCAATACAACGCAGCCCCCCCCCGCCTCTCCCCGGCCCCTGCCCCAACCCGCATCCCCCACACGAATCACGCGCCACCGCGCCGTAGGCACTGAAAGGATCGTCCTCGGGTCCCGTCAAGTTCTCTGTCACGGGCCCTGGGCTGGCACTCTGGGCGCTCTCGCTCGTTCCCGGGGCGTGTCGAACGACTTGTTTGGAAATCGGGCGTCGTTGAACAACACTGCGTGATTACCGTGTTTGCGGCCCTGGAGGGCGCACGCGAACTGACCCGAGAACCCTGGGACCGCCAAGAGCCCCCCATGGGGCGCCCCAGGGGCGCCTGGACGCGTCTAAGCGGCCCCCAGGAGCACCCCAAAGGGTCCCAGAGAGGCTTCCAAGAGGCCCCAAAAGAGGCATCCCAAGAGACCAAGGAATACATCCAAGGCGGCATGTACTCTTATCACCTCAGACGGGGCGGGCTTCGAGAACTGCACGCCAATTGCACTCCAGAGCTACCAACTTATCGAGCTGAATACCTCCAGAATGCCACTAACCGCCGTTTTAGCACTGCGTTTCTTACGAGCGCGATCCCACCAGCAACTCGCGCCGCGAAATGGACGCATGCAGTTCATGAAGTTATACCGAGCGGGATCATTCATGCACCTCGAAGCATGCCTTCCAGGATGCGGCAATCATAAGCCGAGTTCGTGATGTGGTGCTGTCGAACACCACAATTCCGAATGTGGTGCTGACTACCGCAACGGTTCCAAGCAGCAGTGCAGCATGCGAGGTGTAGCGGTGCGCGCTGGGGCATTACCCGTCGCAATTATGCCGCCGCCAACCCAAACGGAGCAAGCCCGCCTGTGGCATGGATTCCGCGCCGCGTGTAATTGCGGATGTTCTCTGGGTCCAAGACGGGCAGTGAACTTTGGGGGCCCACGCATGGGAAACCGATTGACCTGAATTTCAAGGCGACAGAAGTCGAGGGAAGGGTCGTGAATGGTGGAAGAGGAGGGGGAGGAATGATGAAGATGATGATGATGGAAGGGCCAAAACGAAGGAGACGACGAAAATGTGGAGGAGAAGGAGGAGGACGAGAGCGCAATCCGTTCCCACAGTCTGACTCCCACACCGTGGGGGCCTTGCTGAACGTCAACTCAGACAGGCCCCGATTGTCGTAGCCGTCGAGCCAAAGCAGAGGCAGCAGCAATCGATCGATACCGATCCCGCAGAAGACGGATGAGCCGAGCTCTATCTGGAATGCGGCTGACATGCCGCCGACGGAAGGCATGAAAAACGATATCTGATCCAATGGCGATATTGTGCACAGAGGTCCAGAAGAGGTCAGGAGGCCAGATTGGGGGGGAGGTGGGGGAGGAGGCACATAACTACAGGCTGAACAAGAAGGACATCTCCGATATTGCAAGAGAATATCTCCAGCCAAGGCCGCACTCCCAAACAAGCAGGAGTGGGCTCCTCATCTATATTTGGACGGCGTGTTCCAACACCTCGATACAATCTTGAGTGTCGACGCCAGGATGAACGGAGGAAGGCCCCGACCTACGAACTTCACTCCCAAGAAATGCCGATCAATGATCTGTTCCAGGAAGTGCTTGACAAGGATAAACAAAGCTGCACGACAAGAGTGGGGAGGCCGATTAACATAATGTAGCCGAAAAGCATGCGCTTGAAACCCTGCGACCAGAAGGTCACTCGGCATGTGCGTGATCCACGTGAGCCCCGCCAACACAGTCTCTAGGTACTCCATAATCGAATCCCAAAAAAGAGGATGCCACAGACACGCTACCACCCAATCCTTCTGTTCCAAAATTTCAACTACCCTGCCCCTGCTCTTCTCAAAGGTGGCCTATACACAACGCGCCAGATACGCAGCAGCCTTGCAATACTGGGCTACGTGGCGGATCTGTTGGCTGAACCGCATGCGTGTAAAAGTATGCACCATGACGGGCGTGATGGCGCTGCTAGGACCACAAGTCAGGCGGGAAACCGCCCTGGCTTCAGCACGCAACGACACTTTTGCAAGAGGAGAACATGAGCAGCGTAGCTGCGCGCAGAGAATCAATAGACGTCGTGCGCTTCCACATTCTGCCAACAGGCCAGGGCGAGCGATGTCAGGTGATGGCTGTGAAACAGTAGGAGGTGCAGCCGGCACTCTCCAAAAAAGCTCCGTCCATAACCAACTCCCACGGCCCAGCCAAGACACTTCCCATGGTCTAGGAGTGTAGCCCTCGAGATCTCCAGGCCCCACCTCTGGACGGCGGCGCGGGTCAGGATCGGGTCGAACTACCTAAGAATGATGATTTGCGTTTTGGCTGGGTGAATGTTGAGCCCAGCGTATGTGGCTTTGTCCAGAACCTCACGAAAAACCTCGAGGAGGGCGCGGACCAGGTTTGGCGCGACCATTGCTAGACCGTCGGCGAAGCTGTGGAGGGAAAGTTCAGGGTCGAACATGAAAAGAGAAGCGCTGTAAGTACCGATAAACAGGAACAAAGCAAACCGCATGCAAACGCACAGACATAGTGCAGCCCTGCATGACCCCACGCTGAACTTTATAGGAGTGCCCCGAGTCTGTACCGAGACGCTAGCATTCATATGCGACCTGAGAACATCGGGGGAAACGAAAGGGGGGATAGCAAAGGGTAAGGTAGATATCAACTTATGCAGCTGATTTTCCCAGCGCCTCCCGGTGCCGGGAGGCCCCCATGTATCGAGGAATGGGCCTGGCGGCGGGGCCGAAACCAGCTGCATGCAGCAGATTTCGTAACCCCCCCATTCCCTATCCTCCCCTTTCGTTCGGACCGAGAGCAGCTTCGCGATCACAGACACGCGCGCCTGTCATTTCGAACTCACGCTCGGTTCTTTGGATGTGCAGGCTGGGGAAAACTACATGTCGTTCATTTCTAATTGTGCTCATTTCTGATTGTGCTCGTTTCTAATTGTTCCTGGCCCCCTAGTGCCCAGGAAGAGGCCTAGGACAGAACAGTTAGAAATGAAAGGATTTTGGCCCCCCAAAAATCAAACACAACTCTCGAAGGATCAGGAATTAGAAATGAACTGCGTGTAGTGTGCTGTCGAAGCAGCGTGCTCCTCATCCTCGGTCCGGCTCCCTCTCGTTGAGTGTGTGCCTGTGGCCAGAGACGCCTCCACGTCCACGATGCGGTCGAGCCCCTGGCGGCCAGGCGCCAGGCCCGACGGGGCGCCGACGCGGGTAGGCAGAGGCCTGGGTGAGCGGGCGCGAAAGGGCAGAATCCACAACCCAGCTGCTGGCGTCCTGGGGCCCGACAGGGCTGAACCTACACGGTGTTTTTCGCTTTCGCCTGGTCTTCGATTTCCCTCGCTTTGTCTTCCATCCGCCCTTACAGCAAAACGAAAGCGGCCCACGAAATCACCACAAACACCGTTCAGGTCCAGCCCTGGGACCCGAGTCTGGCCTCCCGAGGTGGGGTCCGCAGCATTCTCTCGCAGGAATGCCGCGAGGCCTTCGTGGAAGGCGCCCTTGGCCGCGCGCGCGTAAGGACCACAGAGAGCATGCAAAGACAGAGCCGCCCACGCACCGCGCGCCGTACCTGACCCCATCAGGGCTGGGCGCGGAATCGCAAAGTCAATGGAATATATCCTTGGAGCGCCCCTCTAAAATCCTCTTAGAACCGTCGGGGGAAACCGTTTGGATGCGCGGGGTCCAGGATCTTGAAGTGTCTGGGATCCACATCGCATTTCTTGCCGATCCCCGCAGTGCGGCGCTGGCGCTTTGACCGAGTCACCAGGCGAGGCAAATGGGGCCCCGTGAGAATCAGTAAAACGATGGAGGTGTAGTCAACGGGCGCAGGGGGGGGGGCAGGCGACAGCTAATTCACGAAGGCGCGCAACGAGCTGATCGTGCCGATCAGGCTCGGCCAAAGAATCAGCGAGCCGCTCTTGCTCTTCCCGTTGGAGCGAGACTACCATCGAAGTGGCGGATTCTCAATGGAATCGATGTCGGTCGTGCCACTGCGTCGTCTCACACATTTGCCCCGTTGGCGATGTGCAGCGCAGGCTCGGCCTGCGCGAACATCCCGATGCCCAGCGGCGCGCGAAAGAGCAAGCATCCATGAGGGCGTTTCATCGATGCGTTGCGGGCCTCAGGTTCCATGGCGATGTCCAACTCTTCTGGCGGCTTCGTGGGTGAACCCCTCGCGGCCAAGACTCCTCCAGGCAGGGGAGAAGCCGGAGCGGACAACCCGCCCTGGAATAGCGAGGCGGCTGGCGGCAGCAGGCGGAGAGGGAAGGGAAGAGGACGCAGCCGCGCGGCCCGGCCGATAAGAAGCGGACGAAGCCCTGGAAGCCGCTGACATCGAGCTTGAAGTTGCCCACGTAGCGGCCTCCTGTCTTCAAGAGGTCCAATGTTTGCTGCCGCGTCAAACTTGCAGCGCGTTGACGAGCAAGCACGTCGATAGGCGAATCTCCGATGACACGAACGATGCTGGCACGATTGCCTCTGAGATCGTGCCGCCCAAACCGCGTACAGTAGTTGCTGAGGTAGCTACGGCCCAGCCACCTTGGACCGACGGATCTGATGCTGCTGCGCAGTCAAGGCCTGAGGGAAGGTGCCGATACAGCGCCTCTTCTTGACAACAAGCGGGCCCTGCAGCCCTGCACCTCCATTTCGACAAGCGGCAGCGGCACCAGTCGAATTCCCACTAGCGCATGGTGCCAACTGACGAGCACGTGGATTGACCAGCTCGATGTTTATGTTTTCTAGCTTTGAGTTGAGTCGATAGCCACATCCACCGCGGCTGTGATCGCGCCCGACGGGGCGGCCTCGACCTGACGAGCCTGAACGACCCTCGCGTTGACGGCCTTGAGGTTCTGGTCGTGGAAGGTCATCGCATTGCGCATGGAGCTGGCCTCCTGCTGCATGGATGGCGATCAAAGCATTGGTGCCCTTGACACAAGACAGCAATTCAGCGAGCCAGCTAGGGGCTTATTTGAGCAACAACGGCGACGGAAGAGGAGGAGGACGAGGAGGACGAGGAGAGGGGGCAAGGCACAGGAGGAAGGAGAGGAGGAGGAGGCGGAGGAGGAGGAGGAGGAAGAGGAGGAGGAAGAGGAGGAGGAGAGGGAAAGGGAACAAGTCAGGAAAAGGAGGGGAAGAAGAGGGGGACCAGGAGGAGGAGAGGAAGAGGAACAGGAAAGGAAGAGGAGGCGAAGGACAAAGAACAAGAGGAGAAGCAGTGGCCTCAGGAGCCGGCAGCCCCGAACTCCACCACGACAACACGCTGCCGAACGGCGTGAAGGACAAGAACCTTCGCAATGGCGGGGCGGTCGCCCACGCGTCCACCCACCCCTTCTTTTCGGGCGCACGCCAAGACGGAGTGGTGATCCGTGGATTTGGTGCGTGGGCGCCAAGCCCAGGGATCGGGAAGGTACTCCGCCGCACGAGGCCAGCGCAACCCCCGTTGGCGACAGCGCGCGCCGATGTGATGTGGAAGCGGGACCCGTCGCTAGTCCACGCGCCTTATTCCGTGTCTGTGCTTCCTCGGCCGTTGCGTGACCCCCGCCTCGCCCTCGCCCTCCTCTTCTGAAGATACGAACCAGGTAGGAGCAAAGAAAGGCGACACCAACACCAACAGGGCGAGGAGATGCGCGGAGGCAAGGGGAGTCTCCCTGGTGGTGTGGTCCCCCCCCCTCTCGCTCGAGACATCCCCAGCCTCCCGCTCGGGGAGGCATTGTGGACCTCCTCGCTGGAGGTGGGCCCCCTGGTGGTGTCGGTATCGCTTCGCCTCCCTCCGACCAGGGGCGTCCTCCCGAGAGCACTTCGGCAAGGACGTCGAAGCGAGTCTGGCCGTGGCGACCACGGCGCCGCGGGAGGCCCCCCCAAAGCAACCATGCTCCCAGACGGGCCCCCAAAAAACAAGAACGCGAGGGCCAAACCAAGACACGCATCGGGCCACTCCGGAACTTCTTCCTGGGGCTGCTTCCTGTCTGTGAGAGGGGCCTTTCTTGAAAGGGGCCCTAATGGGGGTGTGCTCTCTTATTATTCCCGCTCCGCGGTAGTTGTAAGGGTGCTGAAACATCTCGTTTGGACGCGCGAGAACCAGAATCGAGACAACCCAGAACAACGCCAGAATACACTGTGGCCCTCACCAAGAACGGTTGTGAGGCCATGTCTGGGACAGCCCCACGATAGAGGGACGAAAGAGACCACGCCCGCCCAAACCAGTTCTAACACGCTGCAGATCCTTCCAGGAAGTGCTAAGAAAGGCTTTGGCACCTGCAGCCTCTCGATTTGTTTCTAGGGCCAACCCAAAATGTAGGGAAACGGACTCTATACACCGACGCTTTCTCCGACCCTGCGAAGAAATTCGCACAGGAACGCGGATCCTAGTGTATACGGGATCCTAGTGTATACATGTTTCGTTTTCCCTTGGAAAACGGAGGAACAATATACACCACACCACCCCGACGTCGTCCCCGACCCTCAAAAAGTCTCGGGACTGAAAAAAACAACACGCCACTGGCAATGTATACGGTCCAGTTTCCGAAAATGGGCAAGCACATGGAACACATCGAATCCAAAAAGGACCGAACTCCGCTCCTGGCAGCCTGTGCTGCTCGGCCAGAACGGGGGCGAAACGGAGGGAGGAGCAAGCATGCGACGACAGCTGGACGAGGCAAGGATTAGGGCGGGCCTGTCCCCCTACAGGAGGATTTTGGACGAAAAAATAAAAATACCCCAAAAAATATTCAAAAGATGCCCAAACATATTCAAAACATAGTCCCCAGACTATTGTTTCACTGTTTTTAAATCTTCCCCCAGTAGAGGAAGGAGCAGGCGGACAAGCGGGAAAGGACACGGGAGGGACAACAGGCAAGAAAGAGAGGGGGGAGGAGGCGAGGGAGGAGGAAAAGCAGGTGGAGGAGGAGGAGGAGGAGAACACACAGACCGACAGACAGACAGACAGACAGACAGACAGACAGACAGACAGACAGACAGACAGACAGACTGACTGACAGACTGACAGACTGACAGACTGACAGACTGACAGACAGACAAACAGACAGACAAAACGACTGTCTGGATCCCAGCTTGCCGGTCCGCCGACTGGCCACGCCTCACGGGCGCGCCCCAGACGCGCCTGAGGAAGGAGGCCATGGCACGGAGCGCCGCGTGGAGTCCAAGCCACCTCAAGCAGTGAAACTGCCCAGTCGTACCTTGGGGCCCCGGCGGGACTGCACTGCTGCACCACTGCGATCGCGGGGACTTCAGAACGCTGCGCGTGCCAGCCGCGCACTAACGTACGCTCCGGGCACGCCAGGGGAGAGAGACAGAGAGAAGCGAGGGGAAGAGGAGGGTGAGGCGGGGGAGGACGAAGAAGGGGAGCAGGCCACAGGACATGCTAAATTAGGCCAATAGAACGACCTAATCAGCGCAAGGAAATTATTGAGAATAACATTGGAGATCGTTGCGGTGACGACGATCGGGCCAGAGGGAGGAAGAAGAGGAGGAAAAGGAATGGAAACACTGGCCGCGCTCCCCTCTACTTGAGGCTGGCTGCGTTGCTGAGCTCCCGGGCCGTGGAGGCGGCAGCTGGCCTCAAGGTGAAGAATCATGTTGGAGCGTCCTGGGCCATCCTGGGCCGCCCTGGCGCCCTCTGTGCGTCTTCCCCCCCAAGACACAAACTGGCCCCCCAGTCGCCGACTATGAAACAAAAATCCGTCAGACAATCAATTGGACTGCATCCCAAAGAACAAAAGCGGGCTTTGGCCATTGAATCACGGACGTCAATCAACGGGCATCATTACTCAGCCGGCCAGTGGAATGACTTTCAAGGGAACCAATACAGCATCAAAGACAAATACACCATCTAACACCACCAACCCTTTAAGGCGTAGGTGGCTTATGGCGATGAACTTTCCAGCCTCCTTTATCTTCCTTCGGGGAGATGCTCATCACATGTCCTGAGCACTGAACACCCACTCCCCCATCCGGATGGCGACAAATCGGGGGCACTGTCAACCTGTGGAACAAATACCCTGGCGACGTACCCAACCACTGCGCAATGCGGGGCAGGAGTAGCTTGGGGGATTTGACGAGAAGGCGGCGACGTGACATGGACGCATATACTTCTGCGAGCGGCATTCGGAAGGTTCGCAGATCCCACATCAAGGGAAAAACGATGAGTAACTAAGTGAACCCCTGAGCCACTAAGGAAGACGCAAGGTCCAAAAGGAGACTGTGGGCAAGGGTCTTGAAACGTCGGCGGGGCAGCAACACCATGACATGACCGCCCGGGGACGGCGAGGTCCCGCTCAGGTCTGCGCAGTGCCTCACTCAGCTGGACCCACCAGCAGCCTTCGAAAGTGGCGAGCACACCAGGAGCCCTCGAAAGTGGCGACGGCTTCGTAGATCGCAGCCCCCCTGGAACAACGAGGTCTCGCTCAGGTCCGCGCGGTGCCTCACCCCGCTGGACCCACCAGCAGCCCTCGAAAGTGGCGACTGTTTCGCAGATCGCAGCCCCCCCAGGGACGGCGAGGTCTCGCTGCGGTGACTCACTCCGCTGGGCCCACCAGCAGCCCTCGAAAGCTGCGACAGTTACGCAGATCGCAGCCCCCCTGGGACGGCGAGGTCTCGCTCAGGTCCGCGCGGTGCCTCACTCAGCTGGACCCACCAGCAACCCTCGAAAACGGCGACCGTGTCGCAGATCGCAGGCCCCTCAAGGACGGCGAGGTCTCGCTCAGGTCCGCGCGGTGCCTCACCCCGCTGGACCCACCAGCACCCCTTTAAAAGTGGCGACAATTTCGCAGATCGCAGCCCCCCCCAGGACGGCGAGGTCTTGCTCAGTCCCGCACAGTGCCTCACTCCGCTGGACCCACCAGCAGCCCTCGAAAGTGGCCACAGTTTCGCAGACCGCAGCCCCACCAAGCAAGGCAAGAGGAGGCAAGAGGGGGCGGGGGGCGGGAGGAGGCGGGAGGAGGAGAAGAACCGACCGCGGTGCTCGATTCAAAACGAATACCCAAACAAGGAGGGTTGATAACAACACACGGATCGCATGTTGCACCAACATCTGGATCATGCGCGGCCGCCCCGAAATCAGTTGCATTGCTTACAGGGGCGGCGAGGGTGCCGGCATACTGCTTCATGTGTGTTTTATCACGTGCCCTACACCATCCCTTGCAACAAAATGGTGTAAGTGCACTTGGCACCAACATGTGGACCATGTTCGGGCACACCCCGATCGAATTGCATCGTTTGGTGGCAAGGACAGCAGGGGGTGCCGCCATATTGCCTCTTGTGTGCAATGCCAACACCCCACACCATCCCTTACAAGGACAAGGCGAATGCACTTTGCACCAACATCTGGATCATGTTTGGGCGCGCTGCGATGACTTGGCTTTGGCTCTCGGCAGGGAAAGCGGGGGGGGGGGCGGGGGGGCAGGGGGGGAATTGCATATTGCGCGCAGGCCCACCATCCCTTCCGACACCCAAGACCGAACAACATGTTATCCAACGTGGGGTCAAACTGTTGTGTGTCTAGCAATCGGTGGTGCGCAATATGCGTGAGGTGATGCATCGGTGGTGCAATATACGCGGTGCAATCTACGAGGTACAATCCACCCTGCTGAACTTGAAATCGTCATCTCCACTGCTCGCGCAAACATCCCACCCACCCACCCGCAACTTGGTTTGCAAAACCTCTTAAGACCGACTACGACGACACCGACGACGACGACGACGACGACGACACCGACGACGTCTCCGACGACTTCGACGACGGCACCGACGCCGACGCCGACGCCGACGAAGACGACGACGACGACGCCAACGAAGACGACGACGAGGGAGGAGGAAGGACGACGACGGCGACAACGACGACAACGACGACAACGACGAGGGAGGAGGGAGGACGGCGACGACGCGAACGACGAAAAGGGAGGAGGGACGGCGACGCCGACGACGACAACGATGAGGGAGGAAGGACGACGACGACAACGACGACGACGACGACGACGACGGCGACGAAACAGGAGGGACGACGACGAGACGCCGACGACGGACGACGACGACGACGAGGGAGGAGGAGGAAGGACGACCAAGGCGACAGCGACGACGGAAACGACCACGACGCCAAAGAGGACGGCGACGACGAACACGAGGAACGACAGAGGACGATGTAGGCGACGACGACGACGCGGGAGGAGGGAGGACGGCGACGACGACGACGACGACGACGCAACAGCGCGCGCGCACGCTTTTGTTGAAAATGCGTGTTACGAAACCTTGGGTTGTTGTAAGTTTTTTGGA